GGGGGGGGGGGGGGGGGGGGGGGGGGGGGGGGGGTTGGACTAGATGACCTCCAAGGTCCCTTCCAAGTCTGTTAATCGTCGGTTAAGAAGCCAAGATAGGAGCCGGGTTTCTCTTAGCAACCGGGCGACTGTCTTAACCGTGGCAGCGATTCCCTTAACAACGGTTGAACAATGGGGCAAAAGTGACTTAACTTACTTAACCAATGCTTCCCTTAGCCCCAGGTACGTTGTGGGTCAATTGTGGCCGTTAAGTCAAGGACTACCTGCGCAGGGAAACCGAGCCGGTTCTCCACCCTCCCGGGACGGGTGTGTCAGGGCTACGGAGACGCATAGGGGTGGGATTCAAAAATCCCAGAAACCGATTCGCTGCCCGGTTGCTGGGTGGGCGTGGCCTACCGGAACTTCCGGGAGGGCTATTTTTCGCCTTCCCCAGAGTCCGGAGGCTTCCCTCGGGCCTCTGGGAGGGTGAAAACAGCCTCCCCTGGACTCCAGAGGCCTTCTGTAAGCCGGAAACGAGCCCGTTTCCAGACTTCTGGTACTTCCGAGAGGGCTGTTTTCCCGCCTCCCAGAACCTCCGCGCGAACTCTGCCCTTACCTCCATCCAAAATGGGCCAAGTGGAGACTCCTGGGAGAGGCGGGGTGGGGTGGAAGGGGCCAGCCAGTCGGTTCAACAACTAGTTCGGCGTACCAGATGCAAATTTAACACCCGGTTCTCCTGAACCGGTCTGAACCGGGGGAATCCCACCGGCGGAGACGCACCTGGCACGACGGGAAGCTTCCGTAGTTTCATGTCATAGATGTTGTTGGCCAGGCTGAAGCGGTGTTGAAGGGCGGACAGGATAGCCAAGCCGGTGCCGTATATCGTGTAGAAGACCCTGGCCTCCAGCACACGTTCCTGCATCACGTCCTGAGGGACAAAAGAGGAAAGAAGGACCTCAGGCGGAAGAGTGGATCTGTTCTGGTTCTGGTCCAAGGCCAGACAACGTTCTGACCTAGGCTTCCTTCGAAAGCATAAAACACAAGCTTAGTTCCCGGCCAAAACCTCTTTTTTTTATTTCCCACGGCTGTGACTTACGTTCATTCACAGCCTGCAAGGCTTCGCAAACGGTCTTTCAGAAAATAGAACAGAACAGGAGTTGGAAGGGAACCTTAGAAATCATCTAGTCCAACCCCCTGCTCAGGCGGGAGACCCTACACCATTTCAGACAAGTGGCTGTCCTTCTGCTGCAGCAGGCATGATATTCCCCTCTGGGAAAAAAATCGGGGCCGGCCAAAAGAGACCCCCCACCGCGCGCCAAGAAATCGCTGCCCAGCTCCCTTTTCCTGCCGCTCAGCGGCCTCCGCTCGCACCGCCCGCCGCTCGCACCGCCCGCCCGCCCAGGCTCCGCTCGCACCGCCCGCCGCTCGCACCGCCCGCCGCTCGCACCGCCCGGGCTCCGCTCGCGGCGATTCCCCAAAAAATCGGAATTCCGATTTTAATCGGAAGAATATCATGTCTGTGCTGCAGACTCCAGTCCTCCCTCCAGTTAACCCTGGGTTTATAACAGGACGCCTCAGGTTTCACGCACCATGCAAAGCCCTGGATGTGGCTTGCTTCTTGGAGGCTTAGCCTGTGGCAAGAAGACTCCACGCACACAACCGTTGTCTTGAACCCAGGCTCCGCCGCAACCCTTCCGCCCGTTGTCACTTACGTTGGTCATGGTGACTTTCTTCTTGAATTCGCCGAACAGGCTGTGGAGAAGGACGATCCCGTTCTCTTGGACGCTGAGCAGCTCCTCGCTGGTGGTCCAGCCCAGGAACATCGCTGGAGAGTCCTTCCACTATTGGCAAGGAGAAGGAGGCGCATGCAAGACTGGCCAACCACGGGTCCCATCAGCCCCACCGGGTTCCTAGGCTTGGCTTTCTGCCTGGATCTTTAACCTTAGACTGTCTACTAACTTTAACCTCAGACAGTCTACTATTGACCTCACCCCTTTCCTAAGCGCATAAGCGTACCCCTTTTCTGTAGGGGGGCGTGCATAAGCGCACCAACGTGCCTACCGTCCCTGTCCTATTGTTTCTTTTATATATATATTTTTTATTTTTCTTATAGGTATCCATGTATTCATAACTTTGTTTTTACTTATACCTCTTATCTTGTAAGCAATTGGCAAAAATAAAAATAATAAAAATAAATAAAATAAAAATATCAAGGTGTCGTTAACTTGGGTTCCCATGTTCCCCTCCCTTCGTCCACAGCAGCTCCTCTCTCTGATGAAAACTACAACTCCCAGTATCCCCAGTCAGTTGTTGCCTCGTCCCCTTGTTCCACCGAGGATCCCCAAACATT